CAACCAGGTGGATAAGGAGCTGTTGCTAAATTTGAACCAGATGGATGCTGAGCTGTTGCTAAACTTGCATCAGGTGGATATTGTTGATTACCATGTAAAGAACGTCGTTTACCAGAAATGACAACAGGTTGTGTTGTTACTCGTTTTCTATCGTTGATTTTTTTAAAGCTGAGATAATCATAACAATTTGATAACATTTTTTCAACAATATTTATAAATGCCTGAATATTGAACAACTTTCTAAAAAAATTTACCAAATTCAATTAACAGTTTAAAGAATGGATAAAAATTTAGTCAAACATACTTGAATCCATTGATATGATCATTGATAGGTATTTTATGTTCAAATCTTGGACTACCACTAACCTAAAACACAAAAAATATAATGATTATAATATGTTTTTAAACTTACATATAAGTTAACGATGTATGTGGTACCATCAATGCAATGCACCGATATTATTTTTAAATTATCTTTGCGAAAGTCAATTCTTGTTGTGTTGTCCTGTCTGAAGAATTGTACTATTTCGCTAGTCTAAAAAAAACAGACGTGACAAATTTATAGATACATAAATGTATGCTCTCACTTGATCACCAATGCTGATCCGAAAATTCTTCAAAAATAAGCAGTAGCAAAATAAAATTATAAGTTGTTCATCATCCGAATCACGATAATTTTTGTATAATTCAATCATAGTTTCGAGGAAAAGATGATTTTCCATGATCTACAATCAAATGATAAATATCTAGAATTGAGAAACAAAATAAAATTGTCCAAAAAAGCAATAATTAATACTAATAAAAAAAAAATTGTCAAAACAAGCTTTTGTGCAAGTGAACAAAATTTCAATCAATTATTTGTTTGTGTAACAAACGTTGCATAAGGATTAACATTATAACAAATAATCGTTCGACCACAAACAACGAAAAAACGGACGAAAAATACTTGGTTATATGCTATTATGAAAAGGTATAAGCATTTGTTTTCTATTAAATAAAAATCTTGATCTAATTATTTATCATTATATATTCTTACTCTGCTATTTGGTTTTCATTTAATACTCGAATAGAATCTTTAAATGTTATTATTGATTTATTTATATTATAAGTTTCTGTCAGCTGTTTTCCACTACTAATTGTTGGTTCATTATCGGTCAAATCACAAATACCTAATTAAGAAATAAAATTAGAATAGAAAGTAAAGAAAATTTTTTATCTCCATACACACATGACTTATAATTGGTTCTTCATCAAATTTATTAGCTGTAATAAGCACTATACAAACTACCGCATGTGCTCTTGATGGTGCTTCATTAAGATTTGTTTTTGATGTTAAACGATCAGCAAAACTAAATTTAATAATATCTTCAGCTTCTTTTAGTGCAAATACAGGTATTTTTATAAGATTTTTAATAATTGTTGGATGATCATTTTGCATAAGACTAAGCTATTTACGAATTTTCATATCTTTTAATTGAACAAGTAAATCAAGAATATTTTCATTATATAATTCAAAAAATAACATCCAGATTGAATAATGTTCATCTAATAAAATAAAATAAAATATTTTTTTGTGAACTTTATTTTACCTTTAACAGAAAGAGCTTCTAAATTTTGTTGTTCAACTATATTTGGTAAACGAATTCGACGCTAGAAGAATAGAATAGTATTGAATAATTTGCTTGGAAAAGAATCTTACCATCTCATTTTTAAAAATATAATTTCGAACAGTTATTTCTATATTAAGGTCAGAATCAATTGTTAGTATTAAATTCTCAAGACCAATAGGTTTAAATAAAACTTTTTCATCAATATTTTGACCAACATTAAGAAATTTTCAATGAAGACATTTTGAAATTAAATCTGACTCTTCAATTGTACCAAATATTGTATGAGTCTTACCTGAAATATCATTATTAAACTAAATTCATTCCAAGAGAATTACATATCACTATCT